CACACACACAGAGAGAGAGAGAGAGAGAGACACACACACATACATATATATTTGTTTGTTTTATTGCCACTAAATACCTAAAATCTACAGCTAAAACCTATCTATCTATCTATCTATCTATCTGTCTGTCTGTCTGTCTGTGTCTTGTGTGAGAGTGCGCGCGCGTGCCTGAGTGAGTGTGTGGCGTTCCTCCAGTCTCTCGCAGGGAATCCCGCTTCACTTCCGTCATTCGGTAGTTGAACTTCCAAGAGCGTAAATCAATCACGGGCGTGCGCGCGGTGGACGCGTCCATCAGTCATCTCCCGTTCGCGCTCAAACCGAGGCCGTGACGTCATCGCAGCGAGGGTCTCCGTATCTCAGGTGTATCCCGGAGCTGTCTGTCTCTCCAGCAGTCTGTCTTCGGCTCATATCAGGAATAACGCGGTGGACCGACCGCGCGTCTCCAGCGACATGGGAAAGACTCGAGCGCTGATCCTGCTGTGCGCCGCTGTCGGTGAGTTTCCTGCGGTAACACATCTTAACTGCAATTGTAGCAAAGAAATGACAAACCCTCCGCGTACGGCGTGCGTCTGTTGTATTTGACAAGTAACAGTGTTCCTGTCAGAAACATGAGAGTGTTTTGCTAGGTTACCTAAAATGTGCATAGATTTGCATGATATTTACAGTAAATACCTCAAAGGAAGTAAATGCATATTGATGTATAGTATAGATTTGCATAATAAATTAGATCTAACTACGTCTCTGAATCATTATAGAATTGTTCTGCCATTATTTTTTTATATTATTAGATTTGCACGGTCAAAATTGACACTAAATTCCTCAAGGGATGTATAGTATATGCATATTGAAGTAGCCTATAGTTTAGATTTCCATATTAAATTAACTCTAACTATAATCATTATAGAATTATTCTGCCTTGATGTCTGACTATTTTTTTTTTATTTGCATTGTCAAAATTTACAGTAAATACCTCAAAAGGTATACTAAATGAGATATCTATAAAATGAGAACTGATGCCTTGGCAACTATTGGAAATAAAAGTTTTTTTTTAAGATTTTGTTTTTAAGTTTATTTATTTCAATGAACAGAAATGGTTTTTTTATGGTTTTAGTTTTAATTTTAGTTTTAGTTAACTATAATAACCCTGCACTTAGGATATGACATGGAATGGCATGCAAACTTATACTCTTAAATATAATAATTGTAATTTGAATCAAAACGGGTTTCACAGCCTTTGTCAGTTCCTCAAATAACATTTTATTTACGACTTCTGAAAACCATCAATGTACTGGTGCTTTAAAGAAGCCAGAAACCAAAACACTGATCAGAGATCTGAAGAACCTGTAAAGAAACTCCAAGAACTTTTAACCTTCAAAGAGCAAATTGGTTTTTGATATCGTTTTTTGAACCTAAATACTGCAACCCTTGAGGAACAATTTTTACAGAAACCTGGCATAAACTTTCTGCTTTGCATATTACATGAGACCTAAATAAACCTCTAAATTATTATAGAAATCTTGTCTTGATTAAAAGTTTCAGATTTACATGGTCAAAATGTATAGTGTCTAAATTAAAAATGTATGTAAGGTTTTTTAATTCATGATTTCATACAGTGACATATGCTGACATATTTGAGTTTTATGCATGCATGTATTTGCATATGTATATTCTCATGTGTGCACCTGTGCAATGTAAACAAACTTCAAAACAGACCAGAATATATCACATTTCCTCTCTTTTCTTGCTATTCTGTATTAATTTATCACATAGACCGGTCTGTTAAACACTCCTGTATTGACTTCAAAGCTAAAAAAAAAGAAGAAGAATTTGTGATTTTTTAATGCTGACAAGATTCCCAATAGACTTGATTTATTTTAAATATAGTGCAAAAGAGAATAAATAAGTTTATGGTGAAAATAACAATGCTTTAAAGCACACATTTCTCCTGTGTCTTCCCCAGTTTTAAAGTTGCTCAGTAGGTGCCTACAGCTGAAAGCGTGTCAGTCTGTGTTACAGGAGCTCTCCTGTAAGAAAGGAATATTTTAAGATAGTCTTTTTTCATTTAGTGTCATTTGCAGGTCTAGTGGGGTGAGAGTGACAGGGTTATCATTAGCACGGTGCTTCATTTGCATTTGTGGTCTTTTTTTGTATGAAAGTGCATGTGTGCTTTGAAGATAATCCTCATAATCCCATTGTAAAGTGGCATACACCAAACAGCACTTGTGTGCTTATGAAATTCAGGAATCAGGTTAAATATTCAGATGTTGTGGTTAAGTTATATGTCACATCACATGTCACATAATTAGTGGTGCTTCCTCACTTTTCACCATCCAGACAATTTTAAATGCACTGGTAACATCTGATTCAGAGAAGCCCAAACCAGGGCCATTTTTTATAATATATATATTTATATAATTATATTATATATATATATATATTATCCATCTTCGAAATACAATCGAAGAATTGGCACAGCAGCATTCAGGCGGCAGTAAGTTGTAGGGTTCACAGTCTGTAAATGTATATATATACATATATATATATATATATATATATTTTTTTTTTTTTGTATTGAAATCTAAAAAACAATATTAGTGAATTTGTTATAAAAATAATAACTAAAAATTATTTAAATTTGTTTAATTATTTTAAAATTGTATACATTTTAATACATTAATTTAAAATTAATTTAAATGAATGTAAATTAAGTTAATTTACCATTAATTTTAATTAATGTTATTAATTAATTTAATACATTAATTGAAAATGTACTTTGGGCACACCAAAGCCCTCAATTAAGTCTATTTCTTGCCCTTCGTATTAAAAAGTTTGGGCACCTCTGATTTAAATGAACTGGTTTTATTCATGTCGAAATTATTAATATAGCTAAATCACCTAAATACATTCATTTATACCAACAAAAGTTTTTATGGGTTAAATCGGGTAGAAAAAGCTCTTTAAGGTAACAATTGCAGGTTACCATTTTTTATAGTGTGTATAAAATCATAATAAACCAAAATATAAGAGTTAATTGTCCTGTTTCATATGGAAATCCAGACATTATATGGTTTGCCAACACCATTTCATGTTGATGTCATTGAAAGCAACTATGAAATAAGAGCAATCAATAAAGCAGTGTTGTGTTTGTGTTTTGAAGGTTTATGCCACTGCAGGTCGGTGACGGTGTCCGGGGGCCCCCTGCTCCGGGTCGAGGGCCAGCCGCTGTCCATTCGCTGTGATGTATCGGAGTATGAGGGCCCGAGGGAGCAGAACTTTGAATGGACCGTAACACGAGGGACAGAAACCTTAAATGTGATCTCGACGTTTGATGATCGTTTCACAGACCGCTCTCTTCAGGACCGCATCCAGAGCGATTACATTAGTGTGTCACGACTAGCAGACAACGCCGTTGAACTGAGAATTCAGGAGGCTCGAGTTAGTGACAGCGCCATCTACCGCTGCAGTACTCCGAGCACAGACTCGTTCATTAGTGGAAACTATGAAGCAGATGTCCAGCTGCAAGGTCAGTATGTGGTGTTTTAAATGGTAAAAAGTCACCTGGTGTAAAACATTTGCGAACAAATAAATAAAACAAATGCATAATGAATGTGCAGAAAATGAGGTTTAATACAAACTAATGCAACTATGTATTGTTCCCATTCAGTCGGTCACTCCGAGTCACGTCGGTGACTGATGAATTGGGATCTCGCTTAGAGAGACCAATCCATTACAAGTGTCACTTCGAGTGTATACTAAACGAGCCAATGCACATTGGCATGCGATGATTGTCCCCGGCTGCCGCTGATCACAGCGTGAGCATAAAAAGGCAGCCGGTGCAACGCATACCAGCTTTTCGCTTCGGAGCCGAGCGACAACATCGTTCTGCTCCTACCAAACTGCTTCGTGTGTGACGAGTCTAGCACGCTCTCTGGAGCTTTTTGTGTTGGTGGACAGCGCTTCAGCGGTGGTCGTTCTTGTGTTGAGTAGGTTGCGCACTTCAGACTGCACTACCCCCTGTCGTGCTGCAAACGGCCGTTTCCCCTGTGCGTCTCAGCACGTAAAAGAGCATTTCCCTAAAAGAGTCAATTTGTCTAAAAGAGTACAATAAGCGCTCGAGTGGAAACCTCCACCGCGTCCCGGGCCCTCGAGGTTGGACGATTGGTTTCTCGGGGTGGCTCGCGCTGGTTCTCAGCACCCCGCCTCAGTGCCCTTCTTCCCGGAGGTGCATGAGGAGCTCACCAGGTCATGTACGGCACCTTTTACTGCCGGAAACCGCCCTGCTGCTCCCCCCTTCCTCACCACCCTCGATGGTGGTGCAGCTAGGGGGTATACAAGGGTCCCCCCGGTGGAGCGGTCGGTTGCGATGCAATTGTGTCCTAATACAGCCTCCACCCGGCAGGGTGAACTGTGCCTCCCCTCCCGGGTCTGTAGGTACACGTCTTGCCTGTCCGGCAATGCTTATATGGCCTGTGGAGAAGCTGCCTCCCGAGAGCTTGGCCCAGCAGCTCTCGGCTGCACAGAAGCAGACTGAAGCGGGTCGTCACACCCTGCCCCGACGGGCAGCTGCTGCCTCCACCTGTCCGCCGGCCGCAGCGCCCCAGCCTGCTTGTCGCCAAGGGCGGCCCCCTGTGTCCGCCTCTGCTCCCGCGCAGCATCCAAGCAAAGCACTACAGCAGGGCCCATTTGAGCCTTTGCAGTCAGTCGAACTAAAGTTTCTTTCAATGAAAACTCTGCTCCTGCTTGCACTGGCCTCCATCGCAGACCCAGCCCTAGCTTTGCTCTGTCCCGTCCGAGCCTTGAGATGCTACGTAGACTGGACACAAAGCTTTAGGACCTCAAACCAGCTCTTTGTCTGTTATGGAGGCTGGCAGAAGGGGAATGTCGTGTCTAAGCAGAGAATGGCCCACTGGATTGTGGATGCCATCACCCTGGCTTATCAGGCACTGAATCCTTGAGAACCGGTAGAGGGCTGGGTTCCATATGTAGAGACCTAAGCGGTTCCCATATGTGTAAAGTACCAGTATCGGTATCGGTGCATCCCTAGTTACAATCACCTCTAATCTTCCATATGCACCTAAACGGATGTCATATGTGTGTATGTATGTATAAGTGCTTCCGAAACCTCCTTCGGGAAGGATGGGGCTTCCTGTTCCTGTTCCAAGTGGAACGGGTACGTTTTTTGTAGAGCTGCGGGCTGGGCGACCCCTAACACGTTCGCTAGATTCTATAGCCTTAGTGTGGAGCCGGTATGCTCCTGTGTTCTCACATCAAACGGGTAGAGGCGCTGAGAGGCCCCGGTTTAGTGTCGGCTTGCTAAAACTGCTCCAGAGTGTCCGTACTGTAGGCCCTGTCGAGCTCCTCCATCCCCTTGGCAGCCAGACATGGCGGAACGTCCGGCGCCAGGCCCTCTCTTGCTGAATCCTTGAGAACCGGTAGAGGGCTGGGTTCCATATGTAGAGACCTAAGCGGTTCCCATATGTGTAAAGTACCAGTATCGGTATCGGTGCATCCCTAGTTACAATCACCTCTAATCTTCCATATGCACCTAAACGGATGTCATATGTGTGTATGTATGTATAAGTGCTTCCGAAACCTCCTTCGGGAAGGATGGGGCTTCCTGTTCCTGTTCCAAGTGGAACGGGTACGTTTTCTCAGTGTTATCCAATCTCACTGAGTGGATAGTGCTATGACAACAGTGACTGGTCTTCTTGTTGCGAGCCCCGGCCTACACCACAAAGGGGCGCAGGCGGCTCGCACAGGACACTGGAAGGGGCAGCATCCATGGCGCTTTGGTGATCC